GTACAAGGATGCAGAAGGCAAACCGCAGGCATTGCCCGTGGAGGGGGGCTCCCGCGAGGTCACTGTCCCCGATCTGGCTCCTTCCCGCCGATACAAGTTCACCCTGTATGGAATCTCTGACCACAAGCGCTCCAGGCCCATCTCCATAGATGCCACCACAGGTCAGCAGTTGGCAGCCTGTGTTAATATCAACTTGGGCAGAATGGACAACAATCCCTCCTGTAACTTCTTTGCTTCCTTTAAGGCAGCAGTGCAGAACCTCAGGTCCAGGGGACAAATCTAGTCTTCCTGATGTGACACTCTCAGGTTCCAAAGATGGCTGTAACCCCTCCCTGGACCACAGCCACTCTCCCTCAAGCTCTGATCATTTGATGCTTTCTCAGACGTCGTGTTGCTTTTGCCTCATTCTGAAGCATGGGTCCTCAAACTGAGGCCTGCGGGCTGGATCTGGCCCGCCATGCCCATTCAACCGGCCTGCCCCACAGGCTTTGCACTCGCCGGGCGCGGGCTCACAGCTTGCTCGTGAGTAGGTCGTTTTGGACTACCTCAGAGAAATGATCTCCTTGCAAGCAAGCCGGCGCCTCACCATGCGCGCACCCGGCAGTGGCTTGCTTGTGAGGAGGCCGTTTTGGACTCGGATCTCCTTGCGAGCAAGCCAGTGAGCAAGCCCGCACGACCCCTGCCCCCACCTCACGTGCACATGCCCCACCCCCTCACTGGCCCATGCCCCCCCCCCACTGGCACCACCTTGGCGGCCTGCACCCACTGCTGGCACCTGTCAACTGGCCCCCTTTAGAAAAAGTTTGAGGACCCCTGTTCTAAGGCATGGGTCCTCAAACTACAGCCCACAGGCCGGATCCGGCCCACCATGCTGATTTATCTGGCCCACCTCAGAGCTTTTGGACCCGCTCAGAGAAAACGATCTCCAAGAGAGACCAAAAGCTCAGGGCCGGCGCAGGCATACTCAGTGGGGAGATGGCCGCGATCACAGTCACACTCGTGCAGGGAAGATAGCGGTCATGCTGGGGGCAGGAGGGACATGGCCACGATCGCACCTGCCTTCCCTGCAAAAGTGTGCCCGTGATCACGCCCATCTCGCCCCCAAGCGTGCCTGCGATCACACCAGTCTCCCCCACAGCATGATCGCGCCCATCTTCCCCCCTGCCCAGCATGATCGCAGACATTGTAACTATATCCCTTGCATTTGGACATACTCTTCCCCACCTTATCTTGGGCTTCTGCTGCAGCCCAAGGGAGCAGAGCAAACTTTTTTTAATTTTTAATTATTTTTAAATTTTAATTAATTTTAATTCATTTTTAATGTGCAATGTGCTTAGGAATTTGTTCATATTTTTTTCAAACTATAGTCCAGCCCCACAACAGTCTGAGGGACAGTGAACTGGCCCCCTGCATAAAAAGTTTGAGGACCCCTGTTCTAAATGGCTCTCCTAAAGCTTAATGACTTACAGTAACTTTCTGTGAGCTAAAATGAACCAGTTCTGCCTCTTTTGCCTTTGGCTCTTCCCACCATTGTGAGCTTCAGTACCTGCTCTGCAATGGAACCCAGTCCTCAAGCTGAAAGAGGTTCATAAACCTTGCTTTCAGGACATGGATTGAGCAGGACGAGGGCACCCACCACTTTTCAGGGCATCGTCTCTGGAGTGTAACCCTGACCATGTGTTGCAGCCTGCACATCTTTTTAATGGTGTACTTTTTCACGCCTACCTTTCCAAGTTTTTCCCAGAGAAAGTTAGTTCTCCATGGCTAGAGTACTAACAATAATGCTCCTCCAGAGCTTGTAAACAGTACAGTTCCCTGTGCATCAAGCCTGCCAACCTGCTCCTTCAAATAACCGAATAGCTTGCTTGTTGTGAGTCAGGATGCACCCAGATGTGCATAAGCCCAGCAGCCAGCATGCTGTGGAAGCATTCTTGCCACTTTTGTGACACACGTGTTTTCCCCAGAAGTCAGATTTGGACAGCATTGATTCGTTCTCCCTTTGGTCAGCTGCCTCCCTCCACCTCACAGCTGTACTGAGCAAAGGACTAATTGACTGGTCTTTGTGTCATTCCTTCTTTTTCAGGGGGAGGGTTGTGAACAGCACTAATTGACCAGTCCCCCCCCCCCCCGCCTTTCTCAGAGGAGGTTAATTGACTGGTCCTTGTGATCACAATCCTCTCTTTCACCAAGAAGTTTTCAAAACATTAAAGCAAATGAAAGAAACATTTAAAAACAACACTGAACAAATGCTTAATACTTATGCAAATTCTTGAGTTGTGTGGGAAGGGAGGACAGAAAACAAAATATTCATTCCATCTCATACTCGTGGAATTGGGTCATAACTTTTGCTTTTGAGACTTTAAATACAGGAGAAATGATAGAGGGAACTGATTTTCAGAAACAAATCCTGTTCATAATCTGGCTGATAAAGTTGGTATCATCCTGGGCATCATTTTATACTTTCTTCCACAGTTATCTGCAACACAGAAAATTACCTAATATCAAGTCAGACTGTTGGTCTGCCTTACTCCCTGGTATACAAATGGTGGTTGGGGAAAGAGGGGTGGTGCCTGGGAAAGGGATACGATAATCAAGGGAGTCTTGGAAGGCCAGGGAAGTTGAATTTGGACCCTTGCCTGGAGGTTCTGCATCTCCTGCCTTCCGTCTACTTCTTTCTTCAGGGAAGCAGAGAACAACCCTTTGCCCTCTTCTCTGTGAGAGGTATTTGAATGTATGTAGAGTGCTAAATACTTCATATTGCCCTTGTCATTTATGGTATAGTTCCAAATCTCTTTCCACAGCAAGGGTAACATTCTCTTTTTGCTTTAGCTGCTACAGCAACATCACCTGAGGTGACCACGGAAAGGGTGGTTACCATTCAACTAAGCCTGGACCAGCTCTCGGTTTCTGATGTCACCAGTAATTCAGTCCAGCTCTCCTGGGTCGTCCCCATGGGAAATTTTGACTCCTTCCTAGTCCAGTATGAAGATACACAGGGAAAGACTCAAGAGTTGCCTGTGGATGGGGATTCTCGCGTACTCATCATCCCAGACCTCGAGCCTTCCCAGAGATACCAGTTCAACCTCTATGGAGTTTATGGTGGCAGGCAATACGGCCCTCTTTCCATAGAGGCTGTCACAGGTCAGCAGTGGCTTAATTGATCGATAAGGGTTGGCATCACACTGAGCATTATTTGGTACTTTTTGTCAGAGGGGGCAGTTGCAGCATTATAAGATAGATCCCAAAATATATGACTTTCCATTCTCATTCAGGCATGTCTCTCAAACTCTGAACCTCTTCTGGGTGGGTCTGGAGGTCAGGGAGGGATTTGTTGCAGAAGGATACAGATTAATTAATTAGATTTAGGTGAACGTTGATACAAGAGTGACTCCCATGTGTATACTTTCAGGGGTCCTTTTACAGGCCATTAAGAACATCTGTTTAGCTTTTAAAAGGCCAACAATTTCTAGCATTCCCAAGCCAACATGACAGAAAGAACCAGAATGAGAGGCTCAAGTTCTTCTTTGTGGTCTCTGTGCATCACACAAATGGGCTCTGTACCACAAATGGGTTCAATAGCTAAGAGCGAGGCCAAGATAAATTCATGCTTTGGTGCCGACACAATGTCTTCATGGTTGCTCGGTTCTGAGATGGTTGTACTGGCCAAGAGCCCATTCAGTGTTGCTTGGTTGCAGTGACCAAAGGATCCACCGCTTTCACCTCTCCAGTCCATTTGACCAACTTTTCCACCTTTTGGAGTTGGAAGAGGGAGTGGCAGTGGCTGCCATGTTGCAGAGGCAGCGGTGGGCAGGGGAGAAGGCTCAGGTGCATCCAGGACATTGACCATGTGAAGAGCCTTATTCTAGCTCAGCACATAACTGGTGAGCTCAATGCTTGCAGGCCTGCTCAGTAAAGGCCTGGCAGTGGGAGCATCGGTTGACCCCATGCCTTTCACCAAAGCAAAGCGAGTGCTGGTTTACTGCAGCCAGCTCAGCATTGCACCACATGAATGTTCATGCCATCGAGAAGCAAGGAAGGAAGAAGAACGCTAAAGAGAAAAAAAAAGAGAAAAACTAATTACAAGCTAGGTCCGAGGAGCACAAAGAAGATTTCTTTTGCGGGGACATTTTCTAATGAGTAGGTAAGAAAGGGAGTGGGGGTGTTTTAAGGGAAAAAAGCTCACGAGGGAAAGGGGGAAATGGTATAAAAGAGAAGATGCTAAATTTGTCGAGGGTAAGAAGAAAAGAAGGCAAAAAAGCACTGAGAAAACTCTAGTGAGAGACAAAGAATTTCCCAAGGCACCAAAGGCAGTCAAAGAACCGAGGGAAATCTGCCTGGTAACAGGCTCCATGCAGGTTCAGAGCCCATATTTGTGCGTGTGCTGATGGCTACTCAAAGAACAACAGTTAAAGGAAAGCAACCAACCTTGTTTCACAATTCTGGTATATTGCAGTGTTACCATGTGATTGTGAAATGGAACATAGGCAGAGGAAAATGGTGGGGGGGAAGCATATGTAAAGGATCCAATCATACTTCTGCCAAAAATCCAGTAAAGTGGTGGGTTAAAAGTCTTGTGCAGAAAAACCCTGGGTGATTGGGAAAACCTTTACTGAAGACAGCTGCCACCAGTGGGAGTAGAGACTAACAAGCGAGGTGGACCGAACAAGCTTGGACCGTGTATAATTGGCTTTCTGTATTAAACAGACTGCGTCATGAATGTGTGGCTTCTCCTTTCAAAGCTGGGTCAGTTCCTCTGAGCTTCTGCCATAGCATCATTCTTTGGTCTGTTGTAGTCTTGCTCCAGGGAACTGGGCAACTGCATTTAGCCTAATTTCATGTGTCACTCAGGCTAATTTCAAAAGCCCTCTGCATGCAGTCATTGAAGATTGACAGGAATGCTCTGTCATTGAGCTGAAAGTGGAGAGAGACAAGAGAGTGTGGAAGAAATACAGAGAAAAGAAAATGGCAGAAAGAGAACTTACACACTGTCAGCATCAGCCCTGGCCACTGCTTCCTCCAGCCTCACTCAGCATCACAAGGGAACGTGGCCAGCCCTCAAATGAACCAAAGTTTCCCAGTCTTGCCTTATCAGGACCTGACAGGAAGAACTTTGCATCCTTCTAACCATGACTTAATTATTACAGGAGTAAAAGAGTTTCAGACCACCATGAAGAATACTTCACCCTCCATCTCTCTCTTTCTCTCCATCTCTCTTCTAGCCCCAGTACCAGCATCACCAGAGAAAGCGGAAGTATTAGCCCCACAGCCCAACTTGGGCGAACTCTCAGCCTTTGACGTTTCTAGCAATTCGCTCCGGCTCTCCTGGACTGTCTCTACTGGGAGCTTTGACTCCTTCTTGGTCCAGTACAAGGATGCAGAAGGCAAACCTCAAACATTGCCTGTGGAGGGGGGATCCAGAGATGTCACTATCTCCAATCTCATGCCTTCCCATAGATACAAGTTCAATCTTTTTGGAATCTCTGGTCACAAGCGACTCGGCCCCCTTTCCATCGATGCTGTTACAGGTCAGCAAAAAATGATAATTCCTTCAGGGAGGATAGTTCTTAATCTCCTTTCTGTCTCAGGAAGTGGTGCTCAGACACAGGGTGAGTGCAAAAAAAGAGTAGCTGCTGAACTCTGGAAGCACTTTCCTAATACTTGGCAAATATACCTAACATAGCATGCCAGCTGTGTGCAGCAATTATTAGCCAGTATTCCTGACATCATGAGCCCTCTAATCAGTGTTTTAGATAAACCAATTGAGGCAATCAAAGGTGTAGGATGCACAGTGATCCCCTTTGAAGAACTGCAGAGGGAGAGGGCAAGGGAGGGAGAGATGGCCTCTTACTTAGTGACAGGTATTAAAAGCAGAATCAAACACCCCCTTGTGTAGTGAGCAAGTTGTAACCAAGAGAATTCTTTCCCTGGTGGTTGTCATATATGCCTTGGTCCTCTCTGTTGCAGCCCCATTGATGGAGAAACCCACTGCACCACTCAAGCTGGGGGAGCTGACAGCCAGTAATGTCAAGCCAAATTCCCTCGATCTCTCCTGGACCGTTGAGACTGGGAACTTTGACTCCTTTATCATCCAGTACCGAGATGCTCAGGGCAAAGCCCAGGCCCTCCCTGTCAACGGGGACCTGCGTTCTCTCCACCTGCATGACCTGGCTCCCTCTCACAGATACCAGATCAACCTCTATGGCGTCTCAGGCAGGAAGCGCCTGGGCCCCATCTCCACCGAAGCCGAGACAGGTCAGCAACCATCCTTCCAGGCCAGGGGAAGGGAACCAGCCCACAGGCCAGATCCGACTGCAGGGGCTACAGCGGCACCCTTTTCCCTGGACCTAGCCTTTTCCCTCTGATCACCAATTGTTTGGTAGTTACCTGTCTTTCATGCAGGGTTTTTTTTTTTTTTTTTTTTGCCACTTTGAAAAGGGTAAAATCATCTTCCTTAGGTTTAGTTACTGGCAGTAAGGGTTTACGCTAAAAGATCCTTGCATTTTTGGTATTTTGGCTCCACCTGTTTTACCTTCAGTTTTGTCCACACTGGATGCAGCATGTGAAAACTTCTCCAGAATGGAATTTGGCCCTTGAGTGGAAAAAGGTTCTACATCCTAGGGTCTGTGTGTCGCATTCTCTGACTTTGATTATAGGACTGAGAAACTGAATAGCCAGGTGGAATCAGCTTCTATCCCTTCTTCTTACTTCAGTTTGGTCTTTTCCTTACTTTCCTATTTCAGGTACTCTTTTTCAGGCAATCAGCTTTTCCCATTGTTGCATTCTGGTGACTTGTTTTCAGAAAATTGTGAGCCAAGGGAGTATATAGTCATTAGGACCAGTAGTGCTCTATAGTCCTATTCCCCATGCATTATTGTTACTGGGATATTTTTAGCTGTTTTCAATTGTTTATAAATGTTCTATGTATTTATATTATTTTTCCTTACTTCTTCTTCAAGTTTAGATACAGGTTTCCACAAAAGTGTCAGAGCAGTGAAGATAAATACAATGGTGTGAAGAAGAAGAAAATACAATATAAATTAATCCAAGTTCTGTTGTGTGCTCCAAATCATAGCTTGCTCTGCCACACTTCAGTAAAAGCCCTTTTTTGTTTGTTGTTGCATTTAGTGTGAACTGCTCAGAAAGTTTTTGCTGTTGGTCAGCATGGAAATGAAAGAGGAAAATATTCAAATGTGTAAGCTCCTCCATCCAATAATATCTTTAGCTTCTTCTGATACCTTTGTTGTATTTCAGCCCCACCACCTACAGTGCCACCAACTCCACCCAGCCTGGGGGAGCTCTCTATCTCAGAAGTCACCAGTGATTCCGTCCATCTCTCCTGGACTGTCCCCACGGGGAGCTTCGACTCCTTCCAGATCCAGTACAAGGATGCAGAAGGCAAACCTCAAGCACTGCCTGTGGAGGGGGGCTCTCGTGAGATCACCATCCCCAACCTGGCTCCCTCCCGCAGATACAAGTTCAATCTCTACGGAGTCTTGGGTCACAAGCGTCTTGGCCCAGTTTCTGCTGATACCATCACAGGTCAGTAAGGCCATTTGTGGGCTTGTGGAAGATGTAGCTGGAATAGACTTCTGAAGATTTTGTTAAGGCAATATTGATGGTGCTTCCGGCTCCTGCTCTTTGTATGCTAGTTATTGTGTTGGTAATTGTGTTTGGATGCTGGCTTTGTTAAAAACTTTGCATGTTGAATTTTTGTCATATCACATTTTGATTTGCCATTTTTATGGTGCTGTGGGAATCTGTTCTAAAACTCATTCAGTCCAGCTAAATGATCTCCCCTTTATGAGCATGCAATATTTGTGCACTCCCAGGGCCACAAGTCTCAGTAATGTTTTCTATGGCTCCCAGCTTCATCTCTGCAGAAACCTCTGATTCCTCCCAGTCTCGGGGAGCTCTCTGCTTCTGATGTCACCAGCAGCTCTGTCCGCCTCTCCTGGAGTGTCCTGACTGGGAGCTTTGACTCTTTCCTGATCCAGTACAAGGATGCAGAAGGCAAACCTCAGGCAATTCCAGTGGAAGGAACCTTCCGAGAGATTGTCGTCCCCAGTCTGGTCCCATCCCGCAGATACAAGTTCAATCTTTATGGCCTCACTGGCCGCAAGCGCCTCGGACCTGTTTCTACCGATGCAGTCACAGGTCAGCTTTGGGGCTCTGTCTCAGGACCCCTGCTCACTAATTCAAACAGCCAGTCCAAAGTGATAAAAATGGTGATAAAATTGTAGTTTTAGTGTCTGAAGAGATTGTGCAGGTCATCCAAACCAACCAAATGTACAGATATTTCAAAATCTATTCCAGATATATTTTGCAGATTGTCAGGTGTCTTTTCTTCCATTGCTGAATTACTGATGGAATGAGTTTTAGTGCAAATGCAGTTGTATTCATTTGTGCCTATTCATACTCCTGAAAATAGAGAGGAGTATGGGGGATTTCCACAAAATATGAAAATCCCCCAAATGTGCGCATCTTCACAATTTAACCTATGGTAGAAATACACATTTTTTGGTCAGTATTTTATTCATATTTTTGTATGACTAACTTTGTGTGAAGTTCTGGAAAATTTGATCCACCAATCCATGGAATCTGTGCAAGTCAGAAAAAGCTGGCCTGCTGTGGAATCTGTGGTCAGGTTCTTAGAAACTGGAACTTATGCAGTCAGAATGTCTTGACGTCCCTAAATCAAATCCCCAGTCAGTGCAAGAGCTGTGCAAGTATGGCATCCCAGCCTAACAGATGGCCTCTATGTGGCTTGTAACAATGCTTACATATAACCTCATATATTCATTTGGCCTCTTTCCAAAATGGGTGCCATTCCATTACATAAGAGGGAGCAGGTTAAATAATCTAATTGGTTTTTAGCTGAGGGCAAACTAGACTGTACATGCAGATGCAAGCAGGGTTTCCTCCTCAGGCTTGCTTTTTAATAGTAACCATGCTCAGGCAGCTGTGTTTCGGGAACCAAAAGTGGTCCTTGTGGAGGAGAGAGTGTTTAGCCCCTTCTCTATAATATTTCTCCACTACCCAAGCTCCTGCTTCTTTCCTAGATCAGAAAAGATATGGCTATGATGCGTTCTTATGGGAAAAAGTAACTGGGGTGGTAGTGTTGATCCTGAATACTAAAAAACAACAACAACCTGACAGAGAAAAGAGTGAATGTGCCAACATCCAGTCTCTTTTGTACCCACATCTCTCAGATGCTTTTCATTTGATGTGTGGCAACTAAATTGCTACCTTTCTTTTCTTTCCCTTCTTCTCCATTAACCATACCTCTGACAGAACAACCGTCTCCACCCAGCTTGGAACAGCTCTCTGTCTCTAATGTTACCAGTGGTTCTGCCCACCTCTCCTGGACTGTTGGCACAGGGACATTTGACTCTTTCTTAGTCCAGTACAAAGATGCTGAAGGCAAACCTCAATCATTGCCTGTGGATGGAAGCAACCACGAGACAACCATCACTGGTCTGTCTCCTTCCCGCCGATACAAGTTCAACCTCTACGGGATGGCAGGACGTAAACGTGTGGGCCCTGTCTCTGCTGATACTGTCACAGGTTAGCAAATGTGTCTTTGGCCTAAGAGAAGCCACATCAAGCTATTTTCTATATGTTGGGTGGATTTTCACAAGAGACTTGGAGGGACAAATATTATGTAACAAAGCCTCAATGGCCCCTTTTGGAAAAGGAAAGTAGCAGTCCCAGGGCCAGCACTGGGAATACACAGGCAAATACCAGAGAGCCCAAAGCTGAAACTAAGCTTGGGTCTTTTAGCCTCCCTTCTAGATAAGGAAGGGAGGCTGACAGCCGCACAACACGGATTCCGCAAAAACAGGTCCTGCCAGACAAACCTTGTGGAATTCTACGACAAGGTTTCGAGAGGGCTAGATGGAGGGGATGCAGTGGATGTGCTATACCTGGATTTCAGCAAGGCCTTTGACAAAGTGCCCCATGATATCCTGGTGGAGAAACTGAGGAGTTTTGGGATACACCAAAGCACTGTCCGGTGGATTATGGCATGGTTGACTGAGCAAAAGCAGAGGGTAACAATTAGTGGGGAATCATCAGGATGGTGGCCAGTGACAAGCGGGGTCCCCCAGGGCCCTGTTCTGAGGCCGATCCTGTTTAATCTTTTCATAAATGACATGGAAGAAGGGGTGAACAGTCTGCTGATCAAATTCGCAGATGACAGTAAAACTGGAGCAGTGGCCACAACTGAGGAGCAGGTACTCCAGATCCAAAAGGTTCTGGACAGACTATGGAAGTGGGCAGGAGACAACAGGATGGCATTCAATGTGGATAAGTGCAAGGTCTTGCACTTGGGGCATAGGAATAGGTGTCATAAGTACAGGTTAGGTGATAAGTGGCTGGAGAGCAGCGCTTGTGAAAGGGACTTCAGGGTACTGGTTGACTGCAGGCTAAACATGAGTCAGCAGTGTGACGCGGCGGTCAAGAGGGCGAACGCCACCCTTGACTGTGTAGCCAGAAGTGTGGCTTCTAGATCGAGAGAGGTATTACTACCACTCTGTATGACTCTGGTGTGCCCGCAACTGGAGTATTGTGCTCATTACAGAAAGGATATAGCCAGGTTAGAGTCAGTGCAGCGTAGGGCCACAAGGTTGGTGGCCAGTTTGCAGGGGATGGGGTATGAGGCAAGACTGAGGGAACTGGGTCTCTTCAGCCTGGAAAAGAGGACACTCAGAGGGGATCTGTTGGCGACATACAGGTATGAGAGGTGTCACATGGAGGTGGGTAGAGACCTGTTCTCCCCTGCAGAAGAAGGCAGGACGCGCTCCAACGGAGCAAAGCTCAGGGAACCAAGGTTCCATTTGGATGCCAGGAGGTACTTCCTGACAGTCAGGACCCCGAGGGTGTGGAATGGGCTTCCATGGGAGGTGGTTGAGGCCCCATCGGTGCGGGTGTTCAAGGATAGGCTGGACATGTACATGGTGGGCATGTCATGAGCGGAGCTGGCTGGTGCTGGAGGACAGACTAGATGGCCCAGGAGACCCCTTCTGACTCACTCTGTTTCTATGTTTCTATTGGTGGGGGGGGGGGGCTGTTAGCATGGCAGCATGACCGCCATCTGAATTACCCCATAATGCAATGCTTGCAACAGGTGCATTGTGGCCATGGCATTGTGCAGAAATGGCTGCAATGCACTGAGTCCACTTCTGCAGACCCGGCCTTTCTCCCAGTGTTATCAGTGGTCCATCTTCTGCTGCTTGCAATTAGGCACGCCTGGCGTGGGTCAGAGAGGGCCCTACTTCTACAAAGGAAGAGTCTCACTGCTGCTGTGGGGAGTCCCAGGCACACTTTCCCTGTGCCCCTGAAACTTGATGCTTTGACGTGTGGGGTTGGCGAATGGAAAATTGCCATGGGGAAGGGGATTTTAAGTTTTCTCTGTCAGCCATTTTTCATGCTTCAAACTGGATCTCACTCAAACCAGGTTCTCTTCCTGCAGCTTTTGTGAGGAAAATGTGGCAGGGCAAATTCTATTCCTTCAGAGAAAGTGATGATTAAAGACTGTAGCATATTTCTCTGTCAAATTTGTTGTAGTTGACTTCTTGACTTTGTTGACTTCTTAAAATGGCTGGCAGAGGCAGAATTTTTCTTCACTGATTTTTAAATGGTGTAATTGTGTAACCCAACCCACACCATTAAAAGGATAAAAATTGAAACATTACAATTTTTGAATAAAAGGTAAAAAATCCATAGCACTAATTCTATGTATATAATAGATCTCTGTATGTAAATATATAATAGAACATACTACCATTGTGAAATAACTATGCCTAGTCAAAGGCACCCCAAACTTCCACATATATATCCATTTGCAAATTATACCCAAAGGCCACGCATTCAGAATTGAAAGTTTCATTAAATCCTCCACCCACTGTGTTATAGCAGGTGGCCATTTATCTTTCCAGTGTTGCAATAATACTCTTTTAGCTTTTCGTTAAATCTTGAAGCAGAATTTAACCCTGGTTCTTTAGACTTAGAATTTAAGTTGCTAGCTTCTGATCTACTTGTTCTAATTTCCATTTTTGCTCTAGACCCAGCAGCTGTGGCAGAGACAGAAGACCCCGTGAAGCCCAGCTTAGGAGAACTTTCAGTCTCAGATGTCACCAGCAGTTCTGCTCTCCTCTCCTGGACTGTCCCCACGGGGAGCTTTGACTCCTTCCTGGTGCAGTACAAGGATGCAGAAGGCAAACCGCAGGCAGTGCCCGTGGACGGGGGCTCCCGCGAGGTCACCGTCCCCAGTCTGGCTCCTTCCCGCAGATACAAGTTCAATCTCTTTGGTGTTTCTGGCCGCAAGCGTGTTGGTCCTGTTTCTTCAGAAGCCACCACAGGTCAGCAGAAGCAGAGCCCTCTTTGATGTGTATATGTGTGTGTGATTGTTTGGAGAAAGAGAGAGGTGGAGGGGGTAAAGAAACCCATCCTCTACATTACATACATCCTCTTTTCTTCAAAGCCAGGGTGGGGCAATTCCAGATGTTGTGTTCTTACTCCACTCCTGTCAACCTCAGCCAGCATAGCCAATAGTCAGGGATGATGGGACTTGTTCTCCAAGCATATCTGGACAGCCACATGTTTTCCAGCCATGTTCTATGCTGTGTCTTGACCACCAGTCTACCTCTGCATTCATTCTCAACTTTCTGTTTAGCACCTTTTTCTTTTTTATATGCTTCCTCAATCCACAGGAACTTTCATGATGGACTTTTACAGTCCATTTCCTCATGATCGCGACCTTACCATTTTTACTTATTTTCAGCTATAAGAACTGAGCAAGGAAGGCGCAACAAACAGTGATTAGGGAGCCAGTGTGGTGTATTCATTAGTGCTGGACTGAAGCTGGAGAAACCTGAGTTCAGGTGAAACTGACCATGTTTGCTTCCAGCCAGTCACTCACTCTCAGCCTAGCCTGCTTCACAGGGTTCTGCTGAGGATAACGAGGAGGAGGAGGATCGTGTATGTTGCCATGGGCTCCCTGGAGCAAAAAGGACAGGATATAACTGTTACAAACACATAATAAATAAACCACTAGACCAGTGGTGGCGGACCTATGGCATATGTGCCACAGCGGGCACGCAGAGCCCTTTCTGTCGCCCCAGCATCACCCCAGCAGCCGAGCATCGGATAACAGTGCACATAGGGGCCATACGCATGCTTGGAAAGGAGTAGCAGCGCCAGGCAACGACATCACGAGCCGCAACTCATTAGCCGCGAATCATCCAAGCTTTTGCATGGCCAGTCAGGGTGCTGCCAAGGAGAGAGAGGGGGGTGGAGAGAGAGCTTTGCATGGACTGGCTGTGAGTTGTTTTTTCTAAGCTTAAAACCTCAGTATTCAGGTTTTATTGCAGTGTTGGCACTTTGCGATAAATAAGTGGGTTTTAGGTTGCAGTTTGGGCACTCAGACTCTAAAAGGTTCGCCATCACTGCACTGAACGAACAGTGCTAGCATTTCAGTGTTCATCAGTAACTCTGAAAGCAAACGGCATGCTCTCAAGGCACCTTTGTGTCAGGCTGCTGCAAAAACTCCTTTCTGTACAGTGGAGGCTCGTGGCTCCTGTGTCAGCAAAGTTACGTGCCTGCCCTGGATTTTTCTCCACACAGGGAGCTATCCATGGTGCTGGCCCCCATCAGCTCAGAACCATGAATCACTCCTTAACGTTTGGAGAAAACTACCTCATGGATGTCGAGCTGCATTGATATCGGACTATCCACTGTTTGCCTCCAACTGTTACCTCCACCCTGTGGGCAATATTTACTCATTTAAAATATTTGTATACAATATTATTTTATTTCTTCACAATATTTGTGTAGTTAGTAGCTACCATGCATAAAAAAACTCATTTAAGCAGTAGAGAGTAAAGTAGAGTAGAGAACTCATTAAATAGAGCTCATTTAAGCAGAGCTCATTTAAGCAAGTGTCTTCTAGCCATCAGTGCTTGGTAAAGAAATGTCATGTGCTCTTATAGAGAAATTGGGTGGTCGAGCACCTATCTGTTGCCACTCACAAATAAGGTAATGCCTTCTCAGAGGACAGAGCAGTATGGAAGTTTATAAACTGAAAAATAAAATGGAGGAGAGGAGAAGAACCTTGTAAGCCACCTTGTTTTCCTTGCAAGACTTTTCCTCATTCTGGTCCACTGAGCACAGAACAGGACATTGCAAAGTCTTACATATGCTGGCATTGTGCCCAGTGATGCTCTCTGAGGATCGTTTAGCTGAAAATGCCAGAAATGAAACATTATGCGTATAAAACCTCTGCTCTGCTTCCTCACCAGCCAGTGAGGAATGGGGCGGAGGGTGCTGTTGCACCCCTGTCCAGCTTGTGGGCCTCCCACTAGGGCAGCTGCTTAGCGGCTGTATGAACAGCTGGGCTGGACGGACCCCTGGTCTGATCGTGCTGCTTCATATGTTTGTATGCTTCAGGAGTGAGTAGTGAGTAGGCTAGGCTTCCCCAGTCATCCCTAGCCATTGGGCTGACTCTAATGGGAATTGGAGCCCACAGAAAGCAGGGCTGGTCATTGGGTTGCTGTGGAGCAGACTAATCAGTATGTGGCATGGCAGGTTGACAGTAATGAGGGATGGAACGGACTTCCTCAGAAGGTGGTAGGCTCGCCTTCCTTACAGGTTTTTAAGCGACAGCTGAGTATCCACCCCTCAGGGAAGCAAGGCGCTCTGTGTGGGGCTTCCCTTGAAGATGGTCCAGATACTTCAATTGGTCCAGAATAGAGCTGCCAGGTTATTAATGGGGACCAGCAGATACTCCCATATCTGGCCGGCCCTGTATCATTTACACTGGCTGCCAATTGAAGTCTGGGCCCAGTTTAAGGTGTTGGTAATGACCTATAAGGCCATAAATGGCGTGGGTCCTGGATACCTGAAGGAGCTCCCTTGTTCCCTATGTGTTGGCCTGCCCCTTAAGATCAGAGGCAGAGGTCCTTCTCTGGAAGCCCTCTTTGAAGGAAATCAGGAGGGTAGCTACTCGGAGAAGGGCCTTTTCAGCCGTAGCAGCCTGACTGTGGAACATGCTCCCCAGGGAGCTTCACCTGGTGCTATGGCTCTATTGTTTTTGACATCAGGCGAAGACCTTTTTATTTTCCTGGTATTTTAACAATTAATTGGTATTATCCTTGTTTTTATCATTATTGGATGCAGCGTGTTATGTGCTGTTGTTATGGTTTCTTTGTTCTTTGGTTTTTTTGTTCTTTGGAAGCTGTCCAGAGACTTTTAGTAATGGGACAGCATAGAAAAAATTAAATAATAAATAAATAAAAATAAATAATCCATAGCAGCAGGTTTTCTGAATTGGTTGGCAGACTGAACTAGAGGACATCTGAAGCCCCCCACCTATCTAAAGATTTTAAGATTTCATCTCAGGACAGCTTTGTAATTCTCTGTTTCTCAATTCCCAGTTTCTCAGATCCCTTTCTTACAAAGACTTTTCTTCTCATTGGGTATAAGGAGCTATGGCTGGAGCCTTAACTCCTTTGTTGTCCCACTTTTTTTCATCCATGGAGTTATGTTAGCCTTTTCATGCTTTCTTTCCGCGTTGTATGAAAAAATGATCTAAGGATATATGAGAATTTTGTTTCAGTTTGCAAAGTACTTGATAAAGTCCTTTCTGCAGCTCCAGATGGGAGCACATGTCCTCCAAAAATGTTTTCTAATTCCAAGACATGTATTTGTAAATTTGAACTTTGAAATGAGCACCTTTAGAAATGCACAACTTTAAATATGCCCAACTTTTGGACAAACAAACAAAAACAGGTCATGGATAAGAATGGAAGTAAGCCAAGGAATGTTGAAGTAAAGTTTGGAGAATTCTGCTGAACCCATGTATTCCTGATTCTTCCATCCCTAATCCAAGTAGAGCATTTCTCATAACAGTGGGATCTTTTCTTTTCTCTCCTCACTTTTCCTGCCCCAATATTTGATCTAGCTGAAACAGAGAAAGAAGAGGAAGATGGAGCAAGTGAGCCTAGCTTGGGGGAGCTCTCAGTCTCAGAAGCCAGCAGTGATTCCATCCATCTTTCCTGGACTGTCCCAACTGGAAATTTTGACTCCTTCCTTATTCAGTACAAAGATGCAAAGGACGAGGCACAGGCTTTGCCTGTTGATGGTGGCTCCCGTGAGGTCACTGTTTCTAATCTGACCCCTTCTCACCAATACCGATTTGACCTCTATGGCCTCTCCGGTGGCAAGTATTTTGGCCCTGTGTCCACCAACGCCATCACAGGTCAGTAGCGCATGCACACCCCTGTCCAACTTCCAGACGCACATGAACTGGGCTATTTCTTTACTAGAGTTGTCTGGGCAACTTCCAGGGTGATCTCAAGAGGGTTCCATCCCACCACTTCCAAGTTTGCCACTCCTGTGGGGGCTGAATAAACCACTGCAAAAAAATAATGGGGACCTTGCAGGAAAACTAGGCCTGTGGAGAGCACACACCTTGTTTTCAAGCAAAAAGGCTTTTGAGGAGTGCAAGTCAGCTTGCAGAAGAGGTGCACGTTTTGTGCATGCCTTCTTTCCCTATAAAATCACTGTGAAGTAGCAGGGGAACACAGGGCCCCCCATAAATGGCCATGAGCCATGTGTTAGCCAGCCCTGTATTGCCCCGGTTTTAGATTGCTTGTAGCGCCAGGGATCAGACCTCAGACCATTTTGGTGCACAAGCCATTTTGTCTCATAAATGGAGCAGTACGTCAGAAGCTGGCCTCAGAAATCTGGCACTAATGAGAACGGGTATGTTCTCCAAGTCAGAGACAAACGGTTCCAGACGGAGGCCCAGATTTCATAGTCTTAACACATGGGCTTGGTACTGGACCACCATCGTGCTGTGTTACATAACATCCTAGCTAGAATCTGCCTACATTAGCTATCTGGTCTGACCCTTACCTTCCAATCTAATCTGGTAATGGCAGTTGTAGCCAGAAGACTCAAGAGGTGGAAGTGACCCTCTCCTCTGGATCAAAAGTATCACTTTCATGTTTCTGGCATGATATGTCTGTGACCCAGAGAGGTTAGCAGGGCTCACCGTTTCTGCCACATTCCTAGAGAATGCTCCCTGTCAAACTCTTTTCACCTCGGTTTTCTACCCCCATTCCCCACTTAATCAACACTCTCAGCTATCAATTTGATTTCAACAACCTTTCTGGAAGGGCAACACAATAGTTTAACCTTTCATCTTCCCTGTCTCCGTTTGACTTTGTTTTTGTTCCTTTCCGCCTTCACTTACCTGTTTCAAATTGTACCCAAATGAACCCAAATCCGACGGGTTTGGTGAAGGAGTAGCTATCTCCCAAGTCATTTTTAAAGCAGGGTCCTTTATGCTGTGTTTCATCCCCATTTTTTTATCCTGCACCTAGAAGTCCATCAGTCACAGAAGCTTTATTTCATCATCTTCCCCTTGGCTGTTCTTTTTTGTTTATTTCTTGATTTCTTTACAGTTTCATCAACCCCAGAGCAGGATGCGGAAGAGAAGGGAACCACAGCACCACCCCCAGAGCCCAACCTGGGGGAGCTTTCTGTATCTGACGTCTCCAACAACTCTGTCCGTCTCTCTTGGGATGTCCCTGCTGGGACGTTTGACTCTTTCCTGGTCCAGTACAAGGATGATAAAAGCAAACCCCAGACAGTGCCTGTAGACAAGGAGACTAACTCGGTGGTGATTTACTACCTGGTGCCGTCCTACAGATACAAGTTCAGCCTCTATGGTATCTCTGGGAGCACACGCTTCGGCCCGGCCTCAGTCAGTATTGTCACAGGTCAGCAACGGAGCTAAGGACTGCCAGTCGTTTCCTCTGTAATTCCGCTTTACCTTTTGAAAACAGGTGGCCCTTCTGTTCCATCTGTCCTTACCCACTAGCCTTTCTTTAGTGCTTTGCTTTCAGATCTCTTTCCAAAAAGCAGTTGCCTAAACAAGCTCATCCTGCCTTAAATCAAACTTTGTGTGAACCCAGCCACACTAGCACACTATGCTTTGCTCACCACTAGCAGCTCATGAAGAGAACCTTTGATGTGTTGTTAGGCTGTGAACTGTGGGTTATTCATGGTGAGCATACCGTGTTTTGTTAGCTTGGCTGGGTTCAAACAACCTACAATTCAACAATAACCCACAGTGCAGTGACAACCCGCACTCAACTCATATCCTAGCTTATTGTGTTGTGTGAATCACTTCTTTTTGCTGCAGCTTTTTTGTTCCTTTAACCATTGTTTTTGCCTCCAGAGACTGTGATCTCCAGCATGACAATCAGTTCTCACAGCCTCTTCAAAGTGCTCAAGTGGCACATGGGAGGAGCCATCAGTGACTGGCAAACAATTTTAACTGAAATTACATCCAGGATGGGCACAAAGATTTTTGTTTTGTTTTTTGTTTTTCTAGCTGAAGCTGCATGGGCACAGATTAAACAAATAAAAATGGTTTTTGCACACACTGTGAAATCAAAAATGGGTGTTTAACTCCTGGATGGAGCTTACATGTTCCTAATGCGTAAATTAACCCATTCACTTATTCAAATCTTTGTTTTAATTCTAGCAAACACTGAAAATGAGAAGGAGCATCTAGTGAAAGAAGAGACAGATCAGGAGGTCTCTACTGAAACAGAGCTCCAATTAGGAGAGCTGATGGTCTCTGAGGTCACCAGTAATGCTGCCCGCCTCTCATGGAGTGTCCCCGTGGGAAGCTTTGATTCTTTCTCAGTCCAGTACAAGGATGCAGAGGGAAGACCCCAAGCACTTCCAGTGGGAGGGAGCGCCCGTGAGGTCTTTGTCCCCAACCTGGTCCCCTCTCACAAATACAGGTTCAATCTCTATGGGATCTCTGGACAACGGCGTTTTGGACCCATCTCTGTTAATGCTGTGACGACAGGTCAGCAGGCATGCTGCAGAAGTGGGGGAGGCTGGGGTGGGGAATAATAATTCGTTTCACCCTTACCAGTCTTTAATTCAGCGTTTCCACTTAATTAGGTCTCTGGAAAGATCATCATCTGTCTCCTTTTCTTTCTTCTTTGCCTGTTTTTCTCTCCTGGTAGGAAAGGCTATCATGATACATTTATCATGTATCAACAGGATGAAGAAAAAGTGCCTCAAGGATATAGAATTAATTTCTCATGCAATCAGACTAACCTGAGAGTAACTACTTTTATTTAAATAAAAGCAGTTTTCCAGCCTGGAAAATATATATATGAAAAGTGGTGATTGTGGTTTCCAATGTCCAATTTTTTCTGTGCATCAGGAAATTATGTTGGACTTGCTGTTTTAAAAGCTTGGGCTTTTGCCTTACCTGTTCCTTAAAATTTAGTGATGGCCTTTTTGGGGAAGGCATTCTGTGGACTTGGCCAAGACTTTAAGTAAAGGTTTTATCACTCATGCAAGCTCGTATGGACTTTCTGCCAGTCAAGCTCTGAAATTTAGTTTGGAAAGGCTTTATTTAGACCAGCACTTTGAATGGTGCCTGAAAACATATTGGTAGCTAGTGAGAAAAATGTCCCAGCCTTGCTGAGAGATGCTCTGCTCACTTGGATCCAGTCAATAGTCTAATTGCCACATTCTATACCAATTGAAGTGGAACTAATTGAAAACTATTAATTGTAATTTTCAAAGATAGCCCCATGTACAACACATTTCAGTCATCTAGTCTAGGTATCATCAGGACCTGGATGATTGAAGCCCAGAGTTCTGTACATTGAAACACCTCTGACTGAATGCTCTGCTGCTCCCAGTTTCTCCTCTTGATGTGCTAACATGCCTTCTTATGCCGATTGCTCACCTGAAGACAAGAAAGCAAAAGTTCTTCACAAAAACATCCCAGCAACACTCTCTCATTCACCATCTTTGTTTTAACTCTAGCAACAGCAGACCAAGGGAAAGTGCAAGAAGTGGAAGAAGAGGCAGGCAAGGAGGTCTTTCCTGGAGCAGAGCCGCATCTGGGAGAGTTCTCAGTCTCTGAGGTCACCAGTGATGCTGCCCGCCTCTCGTGGAGTGTCCCCGTGGGAAGCTTTGATTCTTTCTCAGTCCAGTACAAGGATGCAGAGGGAAGACCCCAAGCACTTCCAGTGGGAGGGAGCGCCCGTGAGGTCCTTGTCCCCAACCTGGTCCCCTCTCACAAATACAGGTTCAATCTCTATGGGATCTCTGGACAACGGCGTTTTGGACCCATCTCTGTTAATGCTGTGACAACAGGTCAGCAGGCACGCTGCAGAAACGGGGTGGGCAGGCGGGCAGATGACAATTGGTTTCACTTTTTCCAGTCGTTAGCTCAACCTTTCCACTTGATTAGATTTTGGATCTACCTCCTTTTCCTGGAAGGATCATCACCCTGCACTCTCTCTGCCCATTTTTTCTCTCCCAATAGGAAAAGTACCTCCTGGAGCATGGAGTTCATTTCTTACAGCACACAGTTCAGCTTTTTCCACTTACCAGCTTTTATGTAAAAATGTGAAAACAGGTTTCCAGCATTTATGACTTGGAAGATCCATTTGAAGCATTGAAATTATAGTTTCAGAGATCCAGAGTTTTATGCATATTAATATCACTTTAAAGATGAAGAAGCTTTCTTTCTAGCAAACCGTGGACTACATCCCGAAATGAAGAAGCACTGTTCCTGGCAATTTCTGTAAATACATGTGCACGCACAAGCACACATGTATTTGAAAGATAGGGCTAAAGAACTGTAGCTGGAACAGTGGCATTCACATTTGGCAACAGGCCAAATAGCCAACTTCTCTTCATCAAGCCCCTGAACTTGATGCTTTAAAAAAGCCTCTCAAATCTACCTGTCTATCTACTAAAAGTGAAGCTTTTGGAATTAAGTACTCTAAAATACAATGAGCTTAATTTTAGTCTGAATTTTAGTCAGTATTTACCAAGATTTGTGTCTGGAATTTTTAAATCTGCGGGTCTTTGAGCATGTGCAGAATTTTTTCCCTTCAGTGATTTCTGGCTTATGCCTGGTAAAATCTCAGAAGCAGAGAAGTAATTTTTTTAAAAAAATTATATTGACAGTCCTTAACAATAACAACAGTATATAATCATTTTATAGCATGTTCATCTTCTATATTACAACAGCTCTATTTACATCTCCATTCCAAATCTATTCCACAAATGGATACTCACAAATATATAACATTTTATAGGCTGAATAAACAGCAGACCCAGTTGGGTTACCCAATGCATTTATTTCAATATTTGATTCCATATTTGAGGTGCCAAATTTTGATAAAATTATCTATATATATTTCACCTCTCTGAATTCTAGCCCATGCAGTAGACACCTGTTCTCCCCTGCAGAGGAAGGTGGGAAGTGCTCCAACAGAGCCCAGCTCAAGGAACCAGGGTTCAGTTTGGATGCCAGGAAGTACTTCCTGACAGTTAGGACCCCGAGGGTGTGGAATGGGCTTCCACGGAAGGTGGTTGGGGCCCCATCAGTGAGGGTGTTCAAAGATAGACATGCACATGAGGGGCATGTCATGAGCAGAACTGGCTGGAGCTGGGGGTCAAGCTAGATGTCCCGGGAGGCCCCTTCTGACTCGCTCTGTTTCCTTGTTGTCAGTTTCTCCATTAATGCAATTTCCCATATCCTTCCTAAATACCTTTGAAAGTAGAGCCCCTTTACATATTTTCAGTTACACACCATTTCTAATCTCGCTGCTTCCCATCCATAAAGAGGGAGAATAATAGGAGAGAGTTTTATTACAAATTCTTTGATGTGTTAACTTTTCTAACCATTTAATTACCTCTTTCCAGAATAATTCCACTTTTGAACAAGATCCCCACATATGTTCAAGCAACCCTTTTACCCCACAATTTCACCAACACATATCCTTATTTATTTTATGAAGTTTTGTGGGGAATAAGTGCCATCTAGCCACATGTACATGTGGTTATTTTTTCCTCCTTGAGGTCTCAAACGGGAAAGAAAGCTCTGTGAACAAGCATCTGATTAAGGCCAGCACTGAAAAAATCACCATCACCATGACTTTTCAGATTTCTTCCTAGAAACCATATCTCAGGGACTTCCATCATCTTCCTCTCTTATTTTTGTAGCTGCAGAGACACCTGGGCAGGCTGGAGAGGAGAAGAAGCCAGAGGAAGCATCAGGCAAGGCTGTTCAGCCCATTCTTGGAGATGTCACAGTCTCTGAGATCACCCCAGATTCCCTTCTCCTCTCCTGGAGCATCCAGGAAGGCAGCTTTGACTCTTTCCTCATCCAGTACAAGGACGCCACAGACAAACTCCAGATGTTATCAGTGGATGGAGCCATGCGCTCTCTTCATCTCTACAACCTCATGCCTTCCCACAGATATAAATTTAACGTCTTTGGAGTCTCTGGCTACAAGCGTGTTGGGCCCATCTCAGTTGATGCTGTCACAGGTCAGCAGGGACTTCACATGGGCCCCTACATGGTCTCCATTTGGGCTGTTTCAACGCTAAATTTACTCAGCATGCCTGTCCTGCTATGGTTGCCAGTGTGTTTCTTTGGTCAAAAGAGCCCCTAAATCCCCAACAGGTACCCAATAGGCAAGAATGTGACATGGAAAGCTTTTTCTGGGATTGTGGTGCAACGAAAAGAAAAAAAACATCTCTGTCTAGTGCAACTTTCTGGTGTTGACAAGGTAGAACACATTTTTGCGTGCTGAACTTCCCAGGACCAATTCAAGAAATATCCAAATACAGCTGGAAAGTCCTGGAGAGCTGCTACCAACCACAGTAGAGAATACTGGACTAGATGGACCTATGGTTTGAGTCAGTATAAGGCAGTTAGCAATGATGTATTCTACTATTTGCCACTGAGTTCTAGGTCATGCTGCCAGGATCCCATGAGTGCTGAAATGAATGTTGCTCAGTTGGATTTTTGAAAACAGTCTTTCTTCTCAGGTTTTTCTCTGCTGCAGTTTCTTTTTTGGGTACCATTCCTCCTAGACTGCTCCCTTGCCAGTCAGAGATCACTGAACAATTTTTCGGCGTTTTTGCAATGATCAGTTTAAAGAGCAGGCAGGTCAGGCCTATTGACCTTACTAGTTTAGGTTGTTTTACAAACATTCAAAAGACTTCCCTACAGCTGGCCTGTAATGGTGGGCAAATATTTTTTTCTCTAAGTCAATTCACTGAAGAAGCAGTAATGCACCTTCCAAGGAACCCCAAAGTTCCTTCTTGGAGCATAAATTTGAAAACTACTTTGTCTAAAGTCATCCTTCCCTAATCTTGGGCCCTCCAAATGCATTAGACTACAACTCCCATCATTCATGCCTGTTGGTTTCCAGCTGTGTGAGATCTCAACTGCTGTCAAACCCAGCCCCTGATCTGGAGACAGAAAACAGAACAATGTCAGAAGGGTTAAAAAATAAAAGCTGCCCGGGAAATAACATCAGTGGCATTTAAGCAGTCTTCCCCCACTTGATACCCCCAGATGCTTTGGACTACAACTCCCAGTATTCTTGAATATTGGCCATGCAAGCTGGCATTGGGAGATGAAGCCCAGGGGATGAGATGAAGTCCAGGGGGTGAGACTGGGGAGGGCTGGGGCTTTTGTCCATTTCAAATCACTCTCTACCTGCTACTGTCTCCCAGACCTAAGAAACTGTGATTCAAGCCTCCCCCAATTGGTTCTTTTGCTCCCGTTTCTCTTCAGCAGGTTGGACTTCCACAACAACTTGCTCCAAGGTTTAACTATTGTTTCATGTATGTGTGTGTGGTGTGTGTGTGTGTGGGGGGGTCTATTTGTGATCAGAACTGCCTTTCTTTATTCTGTTCCCATGTTTCTTTTCATCTGTAGCTCCACAAGAAGAAATCCCTATCCAACCCAGTCTAGGAGATCTCTCAGTCACCAAGGTCACCAGTGACTCAGTCAGTCTGTCCTGGAATGTGCCTGCTGGAAATTTTGACTCTTTCCAAGTGAAGTACAAAGATGCAGAAGGCATCCCGCAGGTGTTGCCCCTGAGCGGTGATTCTCGTGACGCCACTGTCCCTAGCCTGGCTCCTTCTCGCAGATATAAATTCAACCTTTATGGCATTTATGGGCACAAGCGCCTTGGTCCCGTCTCCACAGATGCCATCACAGGTCAGAGGGAATCTTCAGTATGGGGGCTTGTTGGTGGAGACGATTATCTTTCCCCTACTCATGTCTTTTCTTAGGTGTTTCTTACGGTGTTTTGTTTCTTTCCTGTGTGGTGAGAAACAAAAAGAGTCTATGTCTCACACAAACTGTGACTTCATCTTAACAAAAGCTCTGTAACAAATGCAATTGAGATACTTGGTATTATTAATTATATTTCTTGCCCAGGCTTCCGCCACAGACATTGGAGTAGCTTACACAGTTCCCCTTCACTCATATTATCCCTGTGACAACCCTGTGAGCTACACTGGGCAAAGACTGAGTTGAGACAGTAACCCACGCTCAAGGATAGAGTATGGGTTGCCGTTGAACCAAGTGTTGCTGTTGAACCATGGGTTATCATGTTGTCTGAACCCAGCAAAGCTAAGGAATCCTGGTGTGCAACTTATAATTCACAACCTACAGTTCACAACTTAGTGACAAACCATGAGTTCTCTGGATTGTTCATGGTTGGCAAGCCATGGTTTGTTATATTGGCTGGGTTCAGACAACACAACAACCCATGTTTCAGCAACAGCCCTATACAGTCCTTGCGTGTGATTTATCATGATGTAAGAACCCAGCCAATAACTTGTGTAAGATCACCCCTTGAGTTCTGTGACTGAGCAGGAATTTGAATTTATTCTCCTGAGCTCCAGTACAACTTGGCGGTATAGAACCTCTTTCAGCCCAAGGGCTAGATTCCACTTGATATTAGTACTAATGGAAATGCTGGGGTTGTAGGACCGTTTTTCAGTCCACATACTCCTAGGATGGCTTCCTGAATTATTTATTTTTTAAAGGCCACTTTTGCTCCCTTCTATATAACTCAAGGACTGACATCACCTCCTGTGACAACCTTGGTTACTCTTCCTCTCACCAAACACTCAACATTTTCAGTCCAGCATCTCATCTCTGTTCCAGGCCCAAGGACCCAAGCAGACAACAAAGCTCAGCTCAAGCTGGGGGAACTGTCAGTGCATAACATCACATCAGAATCGCTTCTTCTCTCCTGGTCTGTGGAAAGTGGGAATTTTGACTCTTTCATCATCCAGTACCGAGATGCAGGTGGGAAGCCCCATGCTCTGCCTGTGGATGGGAGCTTGCGGTCCCTGCGGCTTCATGACCTGGCCTCCTCTCACAGATACAGGTTTAACCTCTATGGGGTTTCTGGACGGAAGCGCCTTGGACCCATCTTCACAGAGGCTGTGACAGGTTAGTTGTGGCCCAGTGGTCGTTCAGCGACTGTATCTCTCTTCGTCATAATGATTTATTTTATATGGCCATCCCTACATGAAGTATATAACTCAGTGCTTTACTGACACTTCTTCTGCAGCTTTCTTTGCAAGAGGATTAAAGTGTTGTTCACGTGAGGTTTTCCCCCTAGGAATTTTTCTTCCTGCCTGCCTGTCTTTCAACTTCTATGCTACCCCATAACCTGAAGGATCTCTGGGCAGCTTACAAATGCTGAAAACAGCATACGGTACAAATGATAAAACAACAAAGCAGATAAAATAGATAAACAGTAAAATAATAGATTAAAATAATCTCGTGATAAAATGTAAACCACACACAACATGATAAATACAACCGATAATTTAACAACCAAAAGTTAAATAAATAATGTGTAACAAAATATAAAATTATAAATTAAATAAATTAAATTAACCAAAAGCTTGTTTGAACAAAAACATCTAAAAGAAAGAAGAGTTGGTGCCAGCCATATGTGCTTGGGGAGTGACTTCCAAAGTCTGGATGCTATTGCCAAAAATACCCCCCTCCTAGCCCTTTCCCCCTTGATCTCACTGGGAGTGGGGTATTCAGTATATGATCCTATATGTTCCTCTTCTTAACACAAAGTAGCACTGCTGTATAGAGCAGAATTGTGAAGATACGCAAGGCTTCTGTAACCAGCCATGTTGTCATCTAGGAAAAATTCAAACTTTTCTTGCTCAAAAAAAAAGTGCAAAAATGACTGGAAAGCTCAGGAGAGGACCTGGAGGACGATGAGGTCAAGAAAAGGCTCTGCAAATTTCTGTGAGCGAGGGATTGAGAACGTGTAATAAATGCCTCATGTGGAGAAACCCAGTATCACAAAATTATTCCCTCTTCCCGCCACACACACACTTCCAGTGCATGCCCGTGCGCTCTGCCACTGTTTTTAGGTTTTGATTTCAAGTTGCCACATTTACCCAGAATGGGTTCACAGAAAAAGGCCCCTTCACACCCATTTTATGTCTCTCCTCTTTAAACAGAGCCTTTCCCAGTCTGGTGTCTTCCTAAAGCTGGGGACCTCAGCTCCCACCAGCCCCAGCCCATATGGTCAATATTCAAGAATGCTACATTCTCCATTTCAGATAGATAACAACACCTATTTAAATGGTTTTCATTTGCATTCACCAAGCTTTCGCATTCCTGCTCTAACCCCAAAGGTCACTACTTGAATTTTGTGCACACAGGTATGCCCACACTGCTAGAGATGTTGCTCCTTCAGACTTATTGTGCATGAATGCACTTCACATTAAGGTCTGTCCGTCTGCTATTTTAACATTAGCTAAAATTAGGGCTTGGTGTATTTATTGTTTACTCACAGTTTTTATAAGTTTTTAAAACTGTGTTATGACCTTCAGGGTTGCCTCAGTTGCTAAAGAGCAATTTCATGGAGTTTTTCTTTAGAACAGGAAAAATGCAGTACTTAGTTGTAAAAGCAAGAGAAAGCGCTTTTTTGTCACTTTACTTGTGCTATTCTGTGGTATAATGGTGCCAACTAAAGGTCATGCCCAGGAAAAGCAGGGAAAGAAATGCTCTTTCAAACAAAAGACTGGACATAGTGTGTCATCACAGTTAGAAGACCCTTAAATTGTTATCATGAATAAGAAATAAAAACTACTTGAACTTCTAAAAATATGGTGCTAAAGGGGAGGCTAGAAATCAAATAATAATAAATAAAATAAAACGAGGAATGGCAGCTCATGCAATCCACATTACAATTTTTGGAATTCTTTCCTCAAAACTCCCCAAAGGCAAAAAATTGGGGCAAAATAGGAGAACTATTTTACCAGAAACAGCCTTCAGAAACAGGTCTGGCTCCTTAAGAACATCAGAGGAGCTGTGCTGGATCAGACCAAAAGCCTCTCTAGCCCATCATCCTTTTCCCACACAGCCAGCCAGATGCCCCCATAGGAAGCTCACAGGCAGAACTCAGTGCAATCATACCCTCCTGTTCCTGTTCCCCAGCTAATGAGATTCAGAGAGATGCCACCTCTGATTCTGTAGATTAGCATGCATCTACCTCACCCTTCCCAGCTTTGCTGTGCCCCTCTCTCTCAATTTTTAACAGCTGTTGGAATGGCAGAGAGGCATGTAAATGGATTAAGGGACAGACATGAGGGAAGGAGCCCTTGCCAAGGATCACTGCTTCCTTGAACTTCAGAGATCTGTTGTGAGAAAAATAATGTTGGAAGATCGAATCACAGGTTTCCCTTTTCACATCAGCTCTGGTCATCTGTAGGCCCCAAGAAAAGTGCTTTTGAATTCGCCCTAATGCTTTAATGCTTCTAATGCTTCTTAAATTGCATGGCAGCCTGCAATTTTTATTGTCTCTGCTGACACTCTTATGATCCACATGCTAATGTAGCTGTTGTAGGTTTTTCCCATTGTGCCAAGGGAAAGGGCAGGCTCATATCATTTACTGATTGATGTATTTAGTGTTTGCATTGGTTCCTTAGCATGTGCTACCCTAAGATCTCTAAGCAATTTACATAAAGTATATCGAAAACAATGTGAATTCAAATAAAATATTTTCCTACATTAGAAAAGTTATGATTAGAGCAAATTACAAATCAGCAAAAAGCTTGGGACATTTAAGGAGCATTGTTGATGCTTAAAGTTCACCACAGTTTCCACCTCTGAAAATACGCATGGGGAAAAAAGTCCCAGGGGGTGGGACCTAAAAGGCCTGTTATAAGTTGTTAACCTAATGGCATTGTCGTGGGACGACCAGAACAGCCAATATCATCTCAATGCCCTTGTGGAATGAAACATCTGCCTCTCTCTTCTCTGACCCCAGCCGATTCGGAAGAACTTGCCCCTCCACAGCCTAGTCTGGGGGAGCTCTCAGCCTCCAACATCAACAGCACATCTGTCCATCTGTCCTGGACAGTCCAGACTGGGAATTTTGACTCCTTCATCATTCAGTACCGAGATGCAGAGGGCAAACCCCAGGCATTGCCCATAGACACGAGCTCCCTGGATGCTGTTGTGTCCAACCTGGCACCGTCCCGTCGATACAAGTTCAACCTCTACGGCGTCTCTGGACGGAAGCGCTATGGCCCCATCTCCACAGAAGCAGTCACAGGTCAGACACTCATCCCTTCTAGGGAAGGGAATGATATTTATTCCTTTCGGCATTAGGCTAAAACCTTTTTATATTCCCAATGTTTTAAGATCTGATTGTTTTAACTGGGGTTTTATTGTTAGCTGAATTTTTAGGACGCTGTGTTTTGTTCTACATTTTGTATTATTAAATTTTCCCGAGACTTCGGTAAGGGATGGTCTAGAAAAGTTTTAAATAAATAAATAAATATTTAAGCGTTTATATTTGATTAAGTATGATAAAATCCCTAACTGAGAATATAAAGCTTACTTTTCCCCCATCCTTGATTTTCTTCTTTGTTTTATTCCCTTTTTATCAAGCATTTGCATTATTTATGCATCATGTATTTATGCAGTATCAGGCATTTCCAGGGCTGGGAAGCTCAGGCCAGAGAACAAAAATCCTTCCTGCCTTGAATATGAATCTAACCCCTTAGGGCTCCTGCTTCCCTTAGTCTGGCCCAATAAGGATATCAAAGGGATACAATATTATTATTAAAATACTTGAAGAAATTAAAAACATAAAATTAATAATTGAGCAAGAGAATAAAGATTGAATGCCTCAAGAGAAACATTCTGGTATTTAAGTACATACAATGAAGTTCTGTAATTTCCTGGCTTTTGCAAATCCTTCTTCCCCATTCTAAAAGGTTGAAATGTCTCCCTCAAGTACTCGGCAGTAAGAGATTTAAGCTACAGTGTGCTGAGAGTTTTATATTTTTCATTCCTCCTTTTTTGATCATTCTGCTGAGTTCATCTGTGGATATCCCACCTTGCACCAAGTCCTGCCCTAACAGCCCCACTGTCTAAATGGAGAGTTTGCAAACAGCAAATGAAATGAAACCCACACTTGGCCTGACAGAATTTCTATATTTTCATTTATTTTAGCTCGAATGGTGGAACCAAAAATCAGACCGACACTGGGTGATCTCTCTGTCTCTGAGGTCACCAAAGAGTCTGTCCGCCTCTCGTGGACCATCTCTGCTGGGAAATTTGACTCTTTCCTTGTTCAGTATAAGGATACCCAAGGAAAAACCCAGACAGTTCCTGTCGATGCTGACTCCCGCACAGTCGTCATCTCTGACCTGAAGCCATCCCACAGATACAACTTCAACCTCTACGGCATCTCTGGGAAGAAACGGCTTGGACCAATCTCTATCGATGCTGTCACAGGTAAATGGTCCTCACCCAGTCCTGAATCAACCTCCTGTTTTTATATCCTCATCCCCAGAACGATCCATAGATCTCACTTATTTTTTTTCTTGTATTTTTATCCATCTCCTCTGTTCTGTATAATTTTACCCTTCTCATTTCGCCACCGCCTCTAATCTTCCCTTCCTCATTTCTTCCAAGGAGATAAAGGAGCTGTACCCATATAGTCACAGTGGCAGGCTAGAACTGATAGGAATATACACCTGGAATGGACCAGGTTGAGGAAGGCTGGAATAGCAAATACTGAGCTCAGTGGGTGAAAACTATGACCTGGTTTGAAGCAGCTTCTGTCAGCACTGGGGCTTTCCAAGTGGCAGGCATCTACATCAGGACCAGGGGTGCTGGAGAGAAATGGCGGTCCTTAGCAGGATGTCAGAGAACCAAAGGCAAAGTCCAAATATAGGCTGAGGCCAGATACCAACAAAGCAAAGCAGGGTCAGGAGCAAGGAAAGGTCAGAGAGGACAAGGAGCAGGTATGTAGCAAGGCAGAGTTGGACTGAAGGCAAGGGCAGAAGCAGGAGCGGCAGGTGTCAAGGGCGAGGCAAGATTAGAAGCTGGCTCAGGAACACAGCACAATCACCACGGAGACCCAGATTGCTGAAGCCCACGATGCTCTGGCCATCCTGAGCAGCACAGGGAAGCCTTTTCTAGAGCCTTCCAGGGGTCCCAACTGCTCGTATACTATGTGTTTACACAGGCTCCACTCTTTGCAAGAACCTCCAGTTGTGCTCCTGGTCCTGCAGGCACTTGCAGGGTGACTCATGCTGCTTGTCTCCAAGGGGAGCTGTGCCAAGGCTTCCCATCCTGACAGCTTCCTAAGGTTGTGCAATCATAGTGGAGCTGGAAGAGGCCAGAGGACCATCCAGTCCATCCACTTGCTCAGTGCAGACTCCCCGTTAAACCATCCCTCTCAGATGGTTGCTGAGTTGCATCTTGAATACTTCTATTTGGGAGAGCCCACAACCTCCCCAGGTCATTCATTCCATTGTCATACTGCTCTAACAGTCAGGAAGTTCTTCCTGATGTTGAGGCCAGAACCTGACCTCCCATAACTTCAGGCCATTATTCTGTGTCCTGAACTCTGAAATGATGGAGAAAAGATCCTGGCCTCCTTAATTGTGGCAACCCTTCAGTTACTTGAAGAATGCTATCATATCTCTCCTCACTTTTCTCTTCTCAAGGCTAAACATGCCCAGTTCTCTCAAGCTTTGTTTCCATTCCCTAGATCATTCTTGTTGCCCTCCTCTGAACACTCTCCAGCTTGACTGCATCTTTCTTAAACTGTGGTACCCAGAACTGGATGCAGTATTCAAGCTGAGGCCTAACAAATGCTAAGTAAAAGGAAACTAGTACTTCATGTGAGTAGGAAGTGATTATTAATGCAGCCTAAAATAGCATTTGTCCATTTTTGCAGCCACATCACATTGGCGACTCAAGCTACTGCAAGTCACAGATCCTTCTCACTTGCAGTATTCTTGAGCCAAGTATTCCCCATCTTGTAATGATACATTCGGTCATTTGTCCCTATTGACTTTCATTCTGTTGCTTTCAGATCCGCATTCCAAGCTATCAGGATCACCTTGAATCTTCTTTCTGTTCTACAGGGTATTAGCTATCCCACCCAGTTTTGTGTCATCTGCAAATTAGATCATCGTTCCCTGAACTTGTGATTCTGATTCTGTAGCCAGCTGTGGATCCACAGTTGGCTACAGAATCCATCTAGCCCACTTTTAGTTTGTTAGTTAAGCAGGGTATCATGAGGCACTTTGTCAGAAGCTTTATCTAATCCCAATAGCATTCCCACAGTCCATCAGGGAAGTTACCCAATCAAAAAATGAAATAGATTAGTCTGGCAGGATTTGTTCTTGAGAAATCCATGTTGGCTTCTAGTTATCACTGCATTATTTTCAAAGTGTTTGCAGACTGGCTGCTTTATAATCTGTTCCAGAATTTTCCTAGGGATTGATGTCAGATTGACTGGTCTATAGTTACCAGGTTCTTTTTTTTTCTCCTTTTTTGAAGATGAGAATAACGCTAGCCCTTCTCCAGACATCTGGCACTTCTCCTATCCTCCATGATTTCTCAAAGATATTAGACAGTAGTTCTGCAAGTTCTTCCACCAGTTCCTTTATGACTCTGGGATGAAGTTAATTGGGCCCTGGAGATTTGCACTCATTCAACCCAATTGAATGACCATTTGCCTGTCAATCTTGAGATGCCATCCTGCTTTTTCAGCTTGTACTTCCCCTTCATCAGAAAGTTCATAGATCTTCCTTCAAGAGAAGACTGAGGCAAAGCACTTCAGCCCTTTCTCTGTCATCTATTATTATTATTATTATTATTATTATTATTATTATTATTATTATTAAACATTTCTATGCCGCCCCTTGCCGAAACCTCGGGGCGGCTTACAACACGATAAAATACAATGAAATACAATAGCACATAATAAATTACCATTATCATTTTGCCATCCACATTGAGTAGTTGAACACCCATTACTTTCCTCTGTCATTTACTGTGGAGATATCTGAAAAAAAGGCTTTTTTGGTGCTTTTGACATCCCTCACTAACCTCAGTTTTAGACTTCCTGCCACTTCCTATACATTTCCCTTTTTGTTTTCAGATCATCTCTAGGCTTCTTGTAAAGCCACATGGACTGGCACCCTGCTCTGCCACTGCTGATAACTCCCTATAAATGGATACTGCCAGCATCCAAAGCTGCCATTTGCCACCCCCACAGACAATTAAGTGGCCAGGGTCACTTGGGGGGCTTACTAGTGCACACCTTGCCCGCTGTCTCCTCAGTTCAGGAACCTTGGAAAATAGCATTAATTTCCTTGGGAACCTTGGGAAATAGGATTAAAAATCTATTTTCCAAGGCTCCTTTTCCCTCTTTGTCCTTTCTGCTTTGCCTCAGATTTCATAATTCATCTTTCATTCACCCCACCCATCCCTTATCATCTTCCTGTTCCTGGTGGTCTCCTCTTGTCCTGGAGCTGAAATAAACAAGAAAACACCAAATTCATCGTAAGATTGCTGACTGAATGGCGGGGGGGGGGGGGATGACAAATACAATTACTCTTTCCCCCGAGCTTCAGTGTGTCTTTTAGTTGTGTTAGTTTTCAGTTCCGTCTTTTAAGGAGCAGCTTGAGCTTCAGAAGTTGGCAAGTCAAGCATTTCACCCCTGATCCATGGCTGCAGAGCCAAAGTGGTCAAGTGATTAGCATGTCAGACCAATGGCCATATAACTGAAGAACTGACAGCCCCAGACGCTTGCGTTTGGCAAGCAGTCTTCAAGAGAGAGGAAACATGTGAATACGTATGCAGCTGCTAAAGGGTTTGAAAAACGAGGCAAGTGACCTAATACATGGATTTTTCTGTGCTGAGGCCAACCTTGAGAGAGAGAGAGAGGATGGGAGGCTGCTGGGGCTGAGAGGCACTGCTGGAGAATCAGATATGACTTTCAGTGACCGGCAGCTAGTAGGAGAAAGGAAAGCTGGATGTAAATTTCCACTCCGTTGTGAACCTCACTAGTCGATTTCAAACCAGTGATTATCTTCCTGCCTAACCCACCTCAAGTGATTGTTGTCAGGGTCAAACAGAGGGGAGATAATGTACACCTCTTCCAGCACCTTGAAAGCCCTGCTCTTGAGATCAGATGGTATGATGATTATGCTAGGGAAAGTCAAAGGCAGAAGAAGAAGGGAAAATATGAGATGGAACAATTCTATAAAGGGAACCACGGCCTTGAGTTTATGAGAGCTGAGTAGGGCTGTCAAGGACAGGACATTTTGAAGGATTTTCCTTCATGGTGTTGTCCTAAGTTGGAGATGACACAATGGCATGTAACAACCACAGGGATGGGGCCTTTCTGTGGTTACCCAACAGAAGGGCATGTGGGCCCCTCCTAGCTGGTCTTTAAGACTTTATAGATGTATTTATCCCAGTCAGCATTTTGGTTTATTTCATTGTGCTGTGCTTTTAACAGAGTTTTAACCTGCTGCTGCTAACTTATGAGACATATTAATGATTTAACCATTGAGTATTGCTCATTTTATGGCTTGATTATTAAGTGTTTAAAAGTTATCTTAAAATATAACTTTATAACTAAAGTTATAAAATATAACTTTATAAATATAACCGTGCCCGGACGGGGTGGGGCGTCGGGTGGCCGGCGGCTACAAAGTGCTGCAGGGGGGGAGTGCCGGCGGGAGGAACAACACCTGGCAGGAGACCGCGCCCGCGCCCGAGAACCGCACCGCGCCCAAAGACCGCGCCGCGCACGCGCCCAAAGACCGCGCCGCGCACGCGCCCGAAGACCGCGCGAAGACTGCGCCGCGCCGCCGACTCCGCCGCTACCTGACTGCCCTGCCACGCCCCTGCACACGTGGCAGGTGTGCCCGGACGGGGTGGGGCGTCGGGTGGCCGGCAGCTACAAAGTGCTGCAGGGGGGAGTGCCGGCGGGAGGAACAACACCTGGCAGGAGACCGCGCCCGCGCCCGAGAACCACACCGCGCCCAAAGACCGCGCCGCGCACGCGCCCGAAGACCGCACGAAGACCGCGCCGCGCCGCCGACTCCGCCGCTACCTGACTGCCCTGCCACGCCCCTGCACACGTGGCAGGCGTGCCCGGACGGGGTGGGGCGTCGGGCGGCCCGCGGCTACAAAGCACCAGCAGCGGCCGGGGCCGGCGGCCAAAGGGCGGTTTGCCGCCGTTTGGGGGGG